TCACTCAGCATAATGTCCTCAAGGTTCATCCATGTGATGTGGTGGCTTGCAGCTTCCTTGTTGTTCTTCAAGGTAGCATAATATTCCATTGTGTGTATGTACCACAGTTTGCTTATCCATTCTTCAACTGATGGGCACTTAGGCTGTCTCCATCTTTATGCTATAGTAAATAGTGCTGCTATGAACATTGGTGTGCATATATCTACTTGTGTTATGGCTTGTATTTCTTGTGGAAAAATGCCAAGTAGGGGAATTGCTGGATCATAAGGTATTTATATTTCCAACCTTCTGAGCAAGCATCATATTGCTTTCCAGAGTGGTTGGATCATTTTGCAATCCTGACAACATTGTAGGAGGGTCACAGTCTCTCCGCATCCTCACCAGCGTTTATTGTCCTCTACTTTTTTGATCTTTGCTGTTATTGCTGGTGTGAGATATCTCATTGTTGTTTTGATTTGCATCTCTCTAATGGCTAGTGATCGTGAACATTTCTTCATATGTTTGTTGGCTGCCTGGATCTCCTCCTTGGTGAAGTGTCTGTTCATGTCCTGTGCCCATTTTTTAATTGGGTTATTTGTCTTTTTCTTGTAGAGGTGTTGCAGTTTCCTGGATATTCTGGAAATGAGTCCCTTGTCAGATATGTCATTGCAAAAGATTTTTTTCCATTCTCTGGGCTCCCTTTTTACTCTTTTGATGCACATAAGTTTTTAATTTTTAGTATGTCCCAATCATCTATTTTGCCTACTTTTCTTTGTGTAATTTTCAAAATGTTTGGTAGTTTGTGTATGTCCTATATTACAACCCTTACATTTGTCCCTATTTTTATTCATGGCCTTTGTAATTCTGGGATTCCCATTTAAGTCTTTATTCCATGCTTAGTTGGTTTTTGTATAGAGGATGAGGTAAAGGTCTTGTTTCAATGTTTTGCATGTTCCTTTCCAGGTCTGACAGCACCATCTATTATAGACACTATCTCCTCCCCATACAATACACTTGGGCACTTTGTCGAAAATCAGTTGGCTATATGTGGATGGGTCAATTTCTGGATTCTTGATGCTGTTTCATTGATCAATATATCTTTCATTGTACCAGTACCAGGCTATTTTGACCACTGTAGCCATATAGTAAAATTTTAATTTGGGGAGTGAGACGTTTCCAACCTTGTTCTTCTTCTTAAGCAGTGCTTTGCTTATCCTGGATATCTTTCCTTTCCATATAATGTTTGCAATTGTTTTTCCATCTCTTTGAAGAATGACTTTGGAATCTGGATTGGGATTGCATTATATGTGTAAATTGCTTTGGGTGGCATTGACATTTTCATGATGTTAAGTCTTCCTATCCAGGAGCATGATATATTCTTCCACTTTTGTAAGTCTCTTTTGGTTTCTTATAGTAGTGTTTTGTAGTTTACTTTGTATAAGTTCTTTGCTTCTAGGGTTACATTTATTCCTAGATATTTCATCCTTTGTGCGGCTAAATGGTATTGCTTCCCTAATGTCCTTTTCAGCATTGTCATTGTTACTATAGACAAATCCAACTGATTTTTGTATGTTGATTTTATACCCTGCCACTTTGCTGAATCTTCCAATGATGTCTAGTAGCCTTTTTTTACTGAGTCTTTGGGGGTTTCTATGTATAGGGTCATATCATCTGCAAATAGAGAGAGCTTTATTTCCTCTTTGACAATTTTGTTGCCTATCTTGCCATATAGCTCTGGCTAAGACTTCGAAAACAATATTGAATAGAAGTGGTGACAAAGGGCATACTTCTCTGTTCCTGTTCGCAGAAGGAAGGCTTTCAGTTTCTCTCCATTGAGAGCAATATAGGCTGTTGGTTTTGTGTATATGCTCTTGATTATGTTGAGGAATTTCCCTTCAATTCTTACTTTGTTGAGTGTTTTTATCAGGAATGGATGTTGGATTTTGTCAAATGTCTTTTCTGCATCAATCGATATGATCATATGATTCTTTTCCTTTTTCTTATTTATATGGTGGATTACATTGGTTGTTTTTCTAATGTTGAACCATGCTTGCATCCCTTTTATGAAATCCACTTGGTCATGATGTATTATTTTTTTTTTTTTGTTGTTGGATTCTGTTGGCTAGGATTTTGTTGAGAATTTTTGCATCTATGTTCATGAGGGATATTGGTCTATAATTTTCTTTCTTAGTGATGCCCTTCCCTGGTTTTGGTATGAGGGTTATGCTTGCTTCATAAAAAATATTGGAAGTTTTCTATCCTCTTCAATACTCTGGAATAATTTGAGTAGAATTGGTGACAGTTGTTCCCTGAATGTTTGGTAAAATTCACCAGTGAAGCTATCTGGGCCTGGACTTCTTTTGGTTTGGAGTTTTTCGATAACCTAATCTATTTCATCTTTTGTTATGGGTCTGTTCAATTTTTCTATTCACTCTATGTACATTTATGTAGGTCGTGTTTATCTAAAAATGTATCCATCTCTTCTAAGTTTTCAAATTCGTTGGAGTACAACTCTTCATAGTATTATTTTATTATCCATTTGATTTCGTTTGGTTCCATTGTGATATCGCCCATGTAGTTTCTAATGCATGTTATTTGTGTCTTTTCCCTCTTTTCTTTTGTTAGGTTTGACAATGGTTTGTCAATTTTATTAATCCTTTCAAAGAACCATTTTCTTGTCCTGTTGATTCTTTCTATTGTCTTTCTGTTTTCCATCTCATTTATTTCTGCTCTGACTTATTATTTCTTTGCTTTTGGTGACTGTTTGTTGTTGTTGTTTAGTGCCGTCAAGTCGATTCCGGCACATAACGACTCTGTATAGGGTTTCCAAGGAGCAGCTGGTGAGCTTGAACCACCGACCTTGCAGTTCAAACAGCTTTGCAGTCTGGCACATTAACCTACAGCGCCACACCAGGACTCGGGTTTGGTGACTGTAGGTTCCCTTAATTGGCATGTTTCTAATTGGAGATGCTGTGTTAATGTGTTAATTTTGGTTCTTTCTTCTTTTTGAATGTACGCATTTATAGCAATAAATTATCCTCTCAGCACCACTTTCGCCATGTCTCAAAGATTTTGGTATGTTGTGTTTTCGTTCTTGTTTGTTTCTAATAATTTTGTGAATTCATGTTTAATTTCTTCTTTCACTCAGTTGCTTTTCAGCAAGGTGTTATTCAATTTCTATGTATTCGACTTCATTTCCTTCGTCTTCTTATTGTTAATTTCTAGTTTTATAGTGTTGTGGATGAAAAGATGCTTTGTAATATTTTGATATTTATCTATTTATGGAGGCTTGCTTTTTGACCTAACACAATGGTAAATTATGGAGAATGTTTCATATGCATTGGAGAAGAATATATATTTTGCCGTTGTTGGATTGAATGCTCTGTACACATCTATGAGGTCAAGTTGGTTGATTATGCTGTTTATTTCCTCTGTAACTTTGTCGAGTTTCTATCTGGTTATTCAATCCATTTTCGAAAGTGGCATATTAAAATCTCCCACTATAATGGTAGATTTATCTATTTCTTTCTTCAGTTCTAGTAGGATTTGCTTCATATATCTTGGTGCTCTTTCATTGGGAGTGTAGATGTTTATTATGGTTATGACATCTTGCTCAATTGACCCTTTGATCATGAGCTAGTGTCTTACCTTAACTGTTATGCTGGTTTTTGTCTTACATTTTACTTTATCAGAGATTAGTATTGCCACTCTTGCTTGATTATTATTGCAGTTAACTTGGTATATTTTTTTCCATCCTTTAACTTTTAGTCTGATTTTGTTTTTGTGT